CGTATAAAAATCCATGACAATGACAACTTCTGCCTTTTAGACCCTTGTAATTTTTAGAAGATTAATTAATATAAAAAATACTTTATTAAAAAAGCAGTAGCTCATGGATATTATAATAAATAACTAGTAAGGCATTTATTCGCCTTGTAGACGGTTATTACTGCACAATGTTAGAGTTATTGTAGTACTAGGTATTAAATTGATGAAACTATTTAGCACTGTTTACAATTTTACACTTTGAAATTACCTTTGAGACTTGTCTATGGTCGTCGCGGTTCTAGTTGACTGTTGCCTAGGTATGTAAGCACGTGTCAGTATTTTCCAACAATATTCATAAGGCGTATTTATTATCGCGCCAATAAATGTTAACCGATTGAAGTTAATAAGCAAGCGGAATTTACGCGATGTTACAAATAACGTGATGTTTAAAATTTTTTCAAAGCTATACGAATTTAATTCACTATAGTGTAACCAATGTATTCTAATATTATATTTAATGGATTTTAAGTAAAAAAAATGTTACTAAATAATAAATATATTGAACTTTAAAAATTTTGAACTGTTTTTGATTGCTAAACAATAATCATGTTTACCGTCCTATTATACCTACATGTGAAAGTGTTCGTCCAGGGAAGCTCTGCCACCTTACCTATTTCTGCCGTCAAACAGCGAGCCAGAAATGCTCACTGTTCACTGTTCTGGTAAGGGTACTGGTGAAATTACAAGCACGTGGAACTCGTCAACTTATGTCTTAGGGTGTCGGGCGCAGTGGCTGTTTTTAGTGACGGGACGAACAAGTCGTGCGCCTCGTGGTAAGCTACACGCCTGTTCACAACAGTTACGGTGCCACTCAGGGCTAGATCACTAGATCCGACTGAATCTCCTTTTATTGGATAGTTAATTCTAAAGTGAAGAGGAATTTCTTTCGAGGAAGTTGTAATTTTATTTCTATTTGACGTATTTAAAAAAAATTGTTTATTTATGCTTTTTAGTTATATTATTTTATTTTATATTAATTATTATTGTTAATATTAGTGGCGATCATATCGTACTGTTAATACAATAGTGTACTAACACAAAAAGTGTGTTTTTTCAGAAGCGATGAAAAACTAATTTTTCACTTCCCGTGAAAGATTATTGAAATTTATGTTTAGATTAAAGTTTATTATAGACATCTAATCAATTTCCTACTTGCCAAATAGGTGTACTCAAAAATGAGAGGGAAAAAAAAATATTTCATATTTTCGAGTAAGGACTGTCTTGTCGAGAAATGGCGCACATAAAGTTAGTCTCTGTAGATATCAATATACAATATTCTAACGACGGTTTTATTGAAGTGTATTGAATCAGATTTTATGGTGTAATCTTGAATTTCACGTATTTTGAGTTACATCACTATTGTCATAGCAGTGCAACATTATCTCTTGACATATTTAATAGCAGTAGAGCTCCTTACGTTTAGGTTACCTATTTCTGCCGTCAAGCGGTAATGCTTGAGCATTACTGCGTTCTGGTTTTGAAGGGTAAGGGTGCTGGTGAAATTGCAGGCACATGGGACAAATCAAGTTATGTCTCAGGGTGATGGGTGCGTTGGCTATGCTCCTCGCATCTCTGTGATTTAAAGCTCTGAGTGGACAGGCGTGTCGCTTGTCGCCAGGCGCACGGCTTGTTCGTCCCGTTACTTGGTATAAAAAAAAATGTTTTCACCTGTTTAGGCCTGGTGCAAAGATGGGGTCGAAGCAGTTTCACTCGCATCTGAAAGATATTAGGGTTGTCTGTGCTCGGAAACACATTCGTAAGCAGGGAATTTCATTTCAGGGCTGTGCGCTCATGATACTTACCCTGAGTCTGATTCAATGGGGATATTTGTAATTTTAAGGCTTCCAAATCTTCAATATACTTATTTGGCTTCATCCTTTTCAGTACTACAATTGAATGGAATTTTCCAGAAGCGCACTATATATACTTAACAGTAAGAAACAAATTCAGAGAACAAGTTTCGTCACCAAAATACAACGCTTGGAAGAGTGTCATGCAGTTGACAGTGTCAGGTTTCAAACCGAGCGATCGTTCCAAGAACGCAGACCTCACAGTATGATTCTTACAGTCATTTATATACATAATACGCAATTGTAATGATATGATATAAAATGATTTTGTTTGCATAAGGTTAAGTAAAATTTGAACAAATCCGTTTCAGATAATGCAGCATATCTTACCCCACTTTGTTATGGCAAAACTTTGATTTACATTTTAAAATTTCTAACAATTCTTTGATACTGTGGAAATATTCTCCACAAGACACTTTTTTTTAAAGATGTAGGGGAGCGTGGGGGAATGGGAGCCTACTAAGGAAAATTCACAATAAAAGTCATAATTTATGCAATTTAAATTTGTATTAGTTATGAACGTACCCTTCACATATCTGGGTACTAAATAATCACAGAAAAAATATGAAACTAAAATAAAAAATTTGGTTAAAACAGAAAAAAACTACAACATGTCATTCGCTCTCATTACCCCATAGTTCGGGAAATGGGAGCCGGTAAGAATCCCGTATGTCAAATGGGAGCCATCAGTCTGAACAAAAAAATTAAAGTAATAAAATATATAAGTTATAATGAAAATAAACAAGAAAGTATTAAAGGAATATCCAGTGAATATTGCAATGGGATAAGGTGAGTCAAATAGCTCTCATTACCCGCGTAACATCGAATTGCAAAAGGAATAAAACAGTAAAAACATTTCTATTTTTATTCTGATTTCAAGCATAACTTCTAAAATTTATAACAATGCAACTACATTTTTTAACCGACTTCACAGAAAGGAGGAGATTCGCAATTCGACAGTATGTATTTTGTTTTTTATTTTTTTGTACGTATGTTACGCGATAACTCAGGCATTTGCGAACCGATTTTGATGATTCTTTTTTCGTTGGAGTACCTCAGTATTGGTCTCATTTAAATTTGAAGAAAATATTCCACCTCTAAGGGTGGCAAACTAGGGGGTGAATGACTTTTAAGGTCAGTTTTTTTAGTACTCTGTACTGAACTTATGTAAGACACGTGAAATTGGAATTTCGGGAATGTCCACCTTATTCTATAGTTTACCTAATTTAACTCCCAAATGATTCATATTAAATTCTTATCGGCGCGAGCGACGCAATGAGTCAAAAACGCTCAAACTGTATATTGCCGGAAATTCTGCCCGCATGGTTACTTACTTGTTGCGAAACAAGCGCTCTCCCAACAAGGTCATTGAATCAATGAATGAATTAACAAGGTCAGCACAACCCTACACATTCATTTAGGTCGAGTAGGTATAAACATTAGGTACGTAACAGCAGATTCTTTAAGTTGCTATAAAAAAGTATTGTTGGAACAAAAATTATATTTATGTATATGAAATTGGTTGATACTCCACTGTTTGAGGTCACGCTTGTGTACTGCTCACTATGACTTATATGGTGGCATGACAAGGAGACTCACATAGAAGGATGTGTACAGAACACAGACATATGTATATCTAAAGTACAGAACGAAAGTTGCACAAAGACACAAGGACTCGCAACTTGTTTTAATTTTGTCACATTCTAAAAATATTACCTCTCGAATTTTGTTATTTTTATTACTGTGGGTGATCGTGTGCATCCAATAAATTGTTAGCGATTGACATCCGATATAATTTTATGAATTTTTTTACAATAACATTTCAAAAATCAACCGCGTCTGTGGTCGGATGGTTACAAAGCTGGTCTGCCACGCAGATGTCCCGGGTTCGATTCCCGGGCAGGGTATTTGTTTCTCTCGTGTATTTTTTTATAATACCAACTTACAGTGCGACTCAGAGCTGCCACTGCGCCCGTCATTCTGAGACATAAGTTGACCTGTAATTTCACCAGCACCCTACCCTTCTAAACCAAAACGCAGTAATGATTACATTACTTCTTGGTGGCAGAAATAGGTAAGGTGGCAGTACTTCCCTGGACGAACTCTATGGCTACAAGTTTGGATCTATTTGTGGATGTCTACGTGTGTCCATGCACCCGTAATATAGTTCAACCTAGTGCAGGGTTACAGTGTCTGCGTAAAAAAGAAAATCGGGTCCTGAGTAACCAACTCAGTGTTTGGCAAAGACCTCAAGACCGGTGTCCGAAGATCACGAAATATATTTGATGAATGTATTTACATTATACGCTAGTTCTGTAGTTAAGATGATAATCATTGTTGTGAATTGGACTAATTAGAAATGCTCGACACGCTCGATTGACTTTGTTATCAATTAAACAAGCAATCGAGTAGTGAGTTGATTCCTGACCTGATTGTAAATACATATATACAAGAACTGCAGTATGATGTGTGTAATATAATGACAAGTATTTACGTGGCATATTTAGTCAAAAAGAAGGAAACTGTATAAAATTACAGCGAGGACAACGCCCTGGGGTATTGTGTGCAGTAGGATGTCTACATTACTCCTTTGAATTATTACGGGTAATTTCAATGCAAGCACTACAAATTGTATTGACTTTCGTTCTTATAGATACAGGGTGCTACAACACTGCAAATCCTCGAAGAGGATATCGCACTGTTAATGCAATAGTGTATTAACTCAAAAAGTGTATTTTTTCGGAACCGATGAAAAACGAATTACTCACTTCCAGCGAAATATTATTAAAATTTTTGTATAGGTTAAAGTTTATTTATTACGGACATTCAACAATGGTATAATCTTGAATTCCACATATTTTGAGTTGCGACACTATTGTAATAGTAGTGCGATATATACAGATTAGATATGGGATCAAAAACATTCACTTTGTGCAATATAAAAGAAACTTAAATTAAAAAAAAACTTTGTCTCGTTGAAAATGGAATAGTTTATTTTTTCATATAAAATTTTCTACAGTTAATAATTTCTTTATAATATTTGCGGTCTTCTACCTTGCAACAAAGTATAGATAGATATAGTTTATTATGAGCTTTTAACAAAAAAATATCGAAGTCTGTTCACATGTGGTAATAACGTTCAGAAATGCAATAAATAATAAATATAAGATGGTCGGTAGTAGAAAAACCACAAGGCTTCGAAATATTGCAGAGCGGTTCATTAATATAGAAAATCTAGTTTCTGTGTTGACCGAGCCTGGAATCGAACACGGGACCTCCATGAAAGCCGGTGCGCAAGCCACTCTACCACGGAGTCGGTCGTCAAAATGAATTTCTGCTTGGGTAGATTGCATGTAAAACATACTATTTCGCGAAACAACAGTGTTCTAGATAATAAAACCTTGTCAGTTAAACTGTCAGGAGCTGTCAGTGTAAGTGACCCGCATATTTTAATCCACAGCAATATATAAAAAAAACACGAATAATAAAATTGTCGTAAAATTCCACGAGATATCGCGTCTGTTATATACTTTTTAAACACAAGTATCTCTTGTAAACATTATTATCATTGGATGATAGGAGCATTCTGTTGGAGCGTTCTTCTAGGTTCAGACGTGTTGGTGTTATTGTGAACTTGCTGTGGATTTGTTACAAAAATGCGGTTCCACGGCGCGAGGCGCGGCGGCCGCCGTCTCGCCTCTGTTTGTAACTGATTCCATCACAGATGTGCTTGGCTTGCGTACAGCAACGCACGCGTATCGCTAACAAACGTTTTTTTACAAGTGTTTTTACTAGTGCACAGCTGATCGGACAATAACACTGCCGTTTTTCTACGCCGAGGTATGTAAACTGACAGTATAATAAGTTCAAACACTCTAAGGGCACTAAACTTTTCAATTTTGTAGAATAACTGCCTAGTTATAAATAAATGTTGTACCTATACGTGTCACATAATTCATGAATGGAATTGATATTGGATGCAAGCGTTGTTGTGATTTGGTGCAAGCGATAAAAATTTTATATTTAGAGCAATTTTTGTTTACTCATATTTGTACTACTTTTTTTGTAGGAGTTTTATAAAATCGGGTCATCGCTAAGTAAGAGTAGTTTATCCTAGTATCTTGCAAATGTTTACTTGAAATAAACCCGGTTTACTTTCTAGGCGCTTATTTTAATCTCGGCTACAAAACTTGTTTTGAACTCAAGTTATAAGTGTCGTTTTTCCAGCAGCTTGCCTTGCATTGCAATTATGTTATCTCTACGTTATAAATTTGCACCAGGAAAATAACCAATAATAAACTGAGTTGTCGAAAATTCTTTTCAATTAAGGACTTTGCAATAATCACCGCATGTTTTAAAGTTTAGTGTTTCTTTCTTGCAATAGACCAGTATTGGCGAGTGGACTGTATAAATGTATGCACTATGATGGAAACACCCTACATGCAGATTAAAACACGTTTAATTTGAAAAATTGAATATGAAACCGAACAAGGCAGCGGAAGCAACTACCAAAATTTAGCTAAACAAAAACTCATTTCTCATTTATAGATTTCTCATAGATGGCGCTACGCCTAAAAAGTCGTTGAAAAAACCAAATACAGAGATACGACGCAAACACATAGAAAAATTCGTGAGGTCCGCTGGTCCGTTCCGTGGCTTAGTTGGTATAGCGTCTAGCACGGTAGGTAAGCTAGAAGACGTCGGTTCGAATCCGACCGGATCGAAGGAATTTTTTCTGAGTGTTCCATCTTTGTATTAATAATTATAACAAACTAGTGGAATAATTTCACAAAAAATAATTGAATATTCAATAAAAATTTAAAATAAACAAAAACAGTAAAAAGTATGTTATAAATCGAATGTAAGTTTAAAAAAAAGAAGTACAAAAACGAAGGAGGCTGCCTCACAGCTGGTCGCCAACAACCAGTGTTTCTAACTTTTTTAAGTTATCAGTTTATCTACTGTCAAATGTTATCTTATCTAATCTAGAACCCCCCTTTTTACTCACCGTGGGACTGTTATAACTAATACAAAATTAAGTTAGATTTGCTCAGACTACGAACATTTGCAATTTAAATAACTTAGGTTCCCAAAGAACATGTTTTTGTTGACCCACATTGAGTTGAAATATTAGTCTATGGCTTAAACGCACTATCTACTCGTATAGAGCTGCCCGTTTGCTCAGCAGTAAGCCTAATATGGATTGACACTGTAGCGCTAGTAAGAAATACGTCTATATATAAGATGTGTATCTTGTTTTAAAAGTATCTTGAAGAAGCTATTTATAAAAATTTATTGAATAGAATGTAATAAAATTTCTATATTTTAAATATCACAGATCCATCATAGAGCAGGTTAATTATTAGTAGAATATATAAAATTCTGAAATAAAACTAATAAAACTTAAATTTGAAATTGTGAGTATGATTTTTGAAATTAATTATTTATATTTCTTTAAATTTCAAGTTTTAGTTCTTGATTGAAATATTATTTTGAATTTAATTTTAATCGTGTTATATTCTTTGCTTTTACATTTTTTAAATTATTTTCTTGCAACTATGGGTACTTTTCTGGAATAAAATAATTATTATTAACAATAATAATGTACCATACCACCAATCCAATTGCCTGGTCTTAAATAATGGAATTTCTGGTACTATCAGTACCGTGGCAAATGAATTCACTTCGAATTTCTCAAATTTTTCCCAAAACAGACATGTTGACTAGACGGCCATAAGCGAAAATAACAATAACAATAATGCACACACTCATAGCCGCACTAGGGAAACCCTGAATCGCGGGTGCCATGGACACACGCATAGATAACGACAAATTACACCCACACTCAAGAGAGAGAGAACTATTTCTCCCGGCGCGGAAATCGAAACTGGGACCTCTGCGTGGCAGTCCAGCATGGTAACCTTTCGGCCATGGAGGCAGTTTAAAGCGTACACGAAATTACACCCGCCGCGCTCCCGATCCGACACGCGTCTGGGCCATACCCGTTTTCAGTATATTTCACGCTTACATTTGGAGTTTTATAAAAGAGTTATGTAATACGTGAACTTTAAGTACTATTACCGAAGGTTCAAGGTAAGCCGATTTAGACAGAAACACGAATAGGGTAAACTGAACGTTTAAATTCAACTCTAGTCAGTTTACAATAAGAACTGTCCAAAGTATCACGCTTGATTTGCTCTGGTACTATCAAGTAGGAGAATATATTTGTTTGGAAAGTCAATCGGGATTATATTATAAGGGCCTTTCGATACTGGTATTAATATTAAGTTTGTTATAAAATTATCATAATAGGTATTTATTTTCTTTGATAATTATACTATACCGATGAAGCCATGCCGAGTCATAATTTTCTCTTTATGAAGAAATATATTTGGGATAACTACGTGGTTTGGGATATGTTTTAGATTGACACTTTGACACGTTTGGATACGTTTCTGACACAAACACACGACTCTACTAGCGGTAGCATTTTGTAGTTCCAAACACAATCCATACACATTCCTTTGTATTTCTAAGGAAAGTTCGGCACAACGACTCGCCCAATCACTTCTCGTATTCAACGAATTCCCGCGACTTATTTAAGACATGTTTAATTAAGTTTAATATACGAGGTAATACAAATTCAAAAAAATCCTTCAGCAGAGTCCCTTCTAAGTTACCTAACGTACCTAAGGCACCTAAGAAAATGCGTTATTATTTAGCAATATGAATTACAATAAGGTTCTCGTCATGGATTCTCAGAAATTACGTAATTATTTTTCGATTTTGAGAAATTAATATAATAATAAGCATAAGCCTCCCCCTGAGCACGCCACTTTCTCGGTCGCTTATAGCTATACATATATACTCACAAATTAAACATATATAAAACGTTAGATGCATTGTTTACTCATAATAATATGTTATTGCAATAAATAAATAACCGATTTTTTTTGTATGTTACGTGTTTATTCCGTTCTTTTTTGTTGGAAAGAGAGTACTTTAATAATGGTCCTATTTAAAGTTGAAGAAAATACTCCACCTCTAAGAGTGGTGTTTTTTTTTAATAAAAAAGTTATAATTATTTTACTGAGAGTTGTATCACCACATTTGCTTATAAATAATTTCTATATTTTGTAATTTTATTGGTTCTGAGTGAGAATTACGATATTTGGCTCAATTTTAGGCGTCAAAAAACATTTTATAACGCACAACACAAAAACATTATATTAGCGAAGAAATCGTTAATTGCGTAATTTGACATATTAATAAAATCCTCTTTAACCTATCGGTCATAAGATCTAAAACCACTAAATCACTTTTTTATTAAAAAAACACACTAAAGATAGTTATCACTAGTATCAGGTTTCTTACCACGGTATGACTTCTTTTTATTTTCTCGATATTTCGGAACGGTTGACCCGTGGGTTGACCCGTGACCATGGAGCGTGCAACCGTTCCGAAATATCGGGAAAATACAAAGAAGTCATACCGTGGTAAGAAACCTGATACTAGTGATAATCATTTAGTGAATAACCACGAAAGTCTTAAAATCTATATACTAAAGATAGGTTTGTATTTACGAACTCGTAAACTTGATTTTACTTGAGGGTTTTCTGTTCGATTTTAGTTTCATCTTTAAAAAAATCGTGTTTACGTACGTTTATTTAAAATATGTTTACGTAATTTAATATGTGTACAATATTTTCTTAAAACATAATTCACAGTTATAGTCGTAAAACAATTAGAATCAGTGTTACAGATGAAATAATTAATAAAATCAACGGTAAAAAGAACACTTATTAATTCAATAAAATAAAAAAGAACATTCGTTTACTTAGTTTCAACTGAGTGAGTTTTTATGTGCCGTTTTTTTTTTTGCTTTTGGTGTGCTCAAATACGTACGTGATAAGTGTTTACCTAAACAATTCTACCAGAGAGATGTCAGAATAAATAAATCCTGTATAACATTATCTCCTATATTTGTCTACTTAGGAAGTTAATAATGATCGTTACATCGTCAATCTGACGTTACCATGTGGAGGCAGGTTCGATTCCCGGGAGAAATATTTGTATGGCCTACATTTATTTCTTTCGTGAGGTTGGGTATAATTAGTGGTTGTCTATGTGTGTGTCCATGGCATCCGCGACGCATGGTTTTCCTAGTGCAGGGCTATGTTGAGCGTGTGCGTTATTATTAGAAAAATAAAAATCTCAAACTCAAATAAGTAATCTTTAGTTATTAGGTACGCAAATTGTTCTTGGAATCGTCACATTCGCTGAGGCAGATTCTCCTATGAAGAATGAGCAGCGCCGGCGCCAGCCCATGTAGTGCCCAGTGCAATCAATACCAACTTTCAGTAGGCATGCGATCAAAATAGAATACTTACTGTTATATTTTCCCCAGTGATCGGAAATTCAGGTGCAAATGGTGCAATTATAAATGATGTTGAGAAGTAATAGCCCTCGTTTCCCTCGCGCCGCCAGCGGCGTTCGGCGCCCCCTATCACCCTACTCTCGTGTGCGCCACACATCGTGCACCATAGGTAAAGACGGCAATGAGAATGAGTTAGAGCCTCTAGAAGTGTCTCTTTATAAATAAACATTATTTAATACACTTTATCAATATTTATTTCAAATATCGATCGAGACAACGTCCAAGGGCAAGAGCAACGGATTTTTATCACTTAATAACGTAAAAGCTCTATAATAACTAGATATGTAATATGACTGTTTTTTTTAAATATAATATTAAGTCACGCGATTAACAAGTTGTGCGCCTGATGGTAAGCTACACCTACAAGTCTATCCACAATATTTGCAGTGCCACTCAGAGCTTT